AACTCCTCCGGGAGAAGTCTCCACCCTTTCCTCCTGACTTCGGCTCTACCCTCCCCACCTTTCCTCTGCCAGCACCCGGCACAGATCCACCCGTTTTCAGTCTGCCCCCTTTCACATGCAATGAACCGGCAGCAGCAGCAGCAGCAGCACTTACTTCCCTGCCTTTCACACCCTTCACAGAAGACAAATCTTGTTCAGAAGTGGGCCTGGACGGCTGACGATACTGCAGTTGCCCAACTGGAGTTGACGTTTCGGCCAAGTGCCGTGCCTTCTCACCTAGTATCATCTCTGCCAGCCTGGAAAACCAAAAGAATATCAACATCAGTGAAATCAGCAGTTGTAAAGCAGCGCGGTTCAGACTCGTATACCGCAGTCCACCGACCTCAGCAGTTGTAAAGCAGCACAGCAAGCTACATCCACGAACGCAAAGTAAGATATTCGAAGTCTGCTATTGAAGAGGGATTCGAACCGAGGACATGCGAATTACGATTTTTTGCTCTTCTAACCTATTGAACTCACCGACGAAGCGAATCGTAATTCACGTGTCCTTGGTTTGAATCCCTCTTTAATCGTGAACCGTGGCCACAAATGAAATCAGTACAACACTTACGCGCTGAAGGAGATATTCGAACAAGCAAACAGAATCTGAGTGAAATCAGTAGAAAATTGAAGAACACAGTTCCAGCATGCAAACCGTGACAGATTGAAATTGGTGACACTGCCAACACTCACTTGGGACAATAACATGTGCACTCCCTCATTGGCCATTTGCAAGTTTCATAGATTTCCTTTGTTGTTTCCTCATTAACGACAGCACAACACCCTCCCCTCCCATTACACACCGATGTCCGGAAACTAGAAACACAAAGAGACTGAGATCTGACCATTTACCAAAGTGCCCTCGACCTCAGCCCCACCTGTCTGTCAATCCATCCACATCGGCCTCAGTCCTCTGACCATTTATCGTATGCTCCATCAACCTCAGCCCACCGATCAATCGGTCCACATCGGCCTCAGCCCGCCCATCAATCGGTCCACATCAACCTCAGCCCGCCCATCAATTGGTCCACATCGACTTTGGCCCACCCATCAATCCGTCCACATCGACCTCGGCCCACCCATCCATCAATCGGTCCACAGACTCCACATCGACCTCAGCCCTCTGACCATTTGCCGGAAGGTCCATCGACATGGACCTCAGCCCACCCAACAATCGTCCACATCGGCCTCAGCCCGCCCATCAAGCGATCCACACGGACCTCAGCCAAATATATTGTTGATGTCACCTGTCAATCGGTCCCTCGTGTCACCCATCCACCTAATGTCACCTGTCTCCATCGGTCCATCAACGTCATGTCACCCATCAACCGGTTCATCGACCTCATGTCACCCATCAATCAGTCCGTCGACCTCATGTCACCCATCAATCTGTCCATAGACATAATATCACCCATCGTTCAGTCCATCAACCTCAGCCTGATATACTATGGCTGTCGCCCATCAATAGGAGTGGTAGCGAGAGTCCTTCGGGACATCCGTTAAAATTGGAACGATACAGAGAAGATTAGCATGGCCCCTGCGCAAGGATGACACGCATAAATCGAAAAATGGTCCAAAAAAAAAAAGAAAAAAGAAAAAAAAGAGTGGTAGCGAGACGTCATATATACTCAGACTGTGCTCTTTCAGATGTGCGTCCAGCATTCAGGCAGACTGATGGATGGTACATGTCAACACCAGGAGGCAACGCTGCTAGCTGGGTTTCTAAGGGAATATTCTCTACGGATTGTTTTGGGAAGACGATATGAAACGCATAGATCTGCTTCGGTTGGCCTCTAACGATAGTGCAAACCCAGGTGTTTTCAGCATCTGATTAAATGTGTTAAGCATCTTTGCAATATGCCAATATCCAAGTTCACCCGGGCCAAGTTGGCATGTCGTGTCGTTTCCCGCCGCTCGATCACACAGTGACTGATCAGTGAGCTACCAGCTACCGTATAACCCAATCTCCCAGGCTTTTCCACCTGGAAACATTGCTGAACAGGTGAATGGATGGGTGCCCTTGATTCAGAGCAGATTTGATACAGTTCCCATCTGTTATGTTCTTTTCGGCCGTAGTAGCCAGCCCAGTGCCACTTATCTTTTTGCTCCCGCCTGGAGTAGTGGGCACTGCTAACATTGCTGAACAAGTGGGCGCTCTCCAGTGCTCATCTAGAGACAGCTGCTGTCTGTGCGCCCACTCATCGGTTTCCATAATCACTTGGGAGTAGTAGCACCTGTCCTGTGCACACCGCTCCAAGTTTTATCTTTATCGCCAGGTCTCGGTCGTATGTTCTGGTTGCATCTGGATTCGAACTCCGGTCTGTATTTCGACAAGTGGTAGCTGTCCTGTGCTCACCACTCCAAATTATTATCAAAACAGGAACAAGTATTTTTGGCATGGCTACGATCCAATCGCAGTGCGGATGGTCTGGGTCCATTGTCAAATCCAAAGCGTCTGAATGAGGCCCCCCACAAGGGAAAGAAAAATCTGACTTAAAGTCTTAAACACAAAAAACAAAAAAAAAAATCAAAAAAATGATAAAATCTGGAAAAAAAAAAGGTATGCAGCATAAAGGGTCACTCCGAACATATTCGGAGCCATCCAGACAGACGCCTGGCCGGACGTCTGGATTGGTCCAGCGTCCCGGTCTGGTGTAGCCATGCTTTTCTGTGCAAATGGCTGGAATTGTGCTGTTGGTAGAAAAACACGTTTGCCATTTTCTTGTTTTTGCTGCGTTTGCTATAATAATCACCCCCCTCACCTTCTTCTCTCCCTTTGGCCAAGTCTGTTTCCTCCCGCCTTTGTAGTCCGTAAAAGCCGCCTTTTCAATTTCACCTCAAGTCGTGCACGTGCCTTTGCAGCATCCATTTGCCGCTGCGATTCTTTCCGTTTTCCTCCCCCTTCAGACCCATGCAGGAGGTCCTTTTTGCTCTTCTGCTCCCTCCCACTCCTATCCATCATCCCCGCCGTCTCCGGGTTCCTCCCTTCCCTCCCCTTCGACCCATTTTCCCTATTCCTCTCTTTGCCAAGCAGTACGCGGTCCCTCTTTCCAGAGACCTTATCGTGCGCCTTCGGACTGCTTTGATCGGCGTCGTCGTCGTCCGTCTCACCATCATCGCCGGAATGGGAAAACTTGTTGTCTTCATCTTCACTCTGTGGGATGCAAACCAAGCACGTAACCCAACAACAACAACAAAAAAGAGCCAAACCAAGCAAGTAATTCATTACGAGTCTTAGAAAATGAGAATGAAAATGAGGTACCCCAGCTCAACAATGCCCCTCTCAGACGCAAACTACATATACACATTTTAATATTCTATTGAAATTTTGAAAATTTCCAGAATGAATTTTTGAAAATTCAAAATTTCAAAAATGAATTCCAGGGAACAGAAAGTATAACTGAGACCAGTACAAGACAAGAAACAATATCACATGAGGTAAACAGGGGGAATAAAAAAAATAAAAAAATTAAACAGTTCAAAATTAGAAAAAAAACAGAAAGAAGAAAGCACCACCAACGGGCCTACCCCAGTTGGTAAACCCATGAGCTGTTGAAATACAGACCCAAGTTCGAATCCAGATGCAATCAGATTGTACGTACATTACCTAGGGCTGGTCAATTCAATGATGATATCTCACGGTCGTCGCCCTTTTTAAAAAGGAAAGAAAAGAAGAGGGAGAGGGGGGGGAGGGGAGGGGACTCAGGGGAGGAGAAAGAAAGAAAGAAGCAAAACAAAAAAAGGCCAACAGAGTGAAGAGACGCAGCAAAAAGGCATGAATAATATTGAATATGTCATCATCCTCTTTTTTTTTTTTTTTTTTTTTTATCATCATCCTGATTCTGGGAGAACATGTTTTCCAAGTGGGCAGTAACTCGGATTGAGAGCGATGATCTTCTCAGAGAGGTCCACCAGCTCTCGCAAAGGACACCTCTACCTCGACATCAGATGACCCAAGACCCCACCTCCATTTATCTCCCCCAAACATAACACTGTCACATCCCATCACACCACCAACTCTGGCAAAGGGTGTCTCTACCTCGACACCATAGAGTGACATCAGCTGACGTGAGACCCCACTTCCATTTATCTCCCCCGAGGGCCCGAACATAACACTATCACACTCTGTCACACGAATGAACCATACTTGCGGCGCATCCCGTGCGCGGGGTCGCGGCACATGCGGCGTAGAGCGCACGCGCATGCACGCGCGCGCACGTGATGTGGCATTTCACCAAAAAAATAAAAATAAAAAAAAATCGAAAGGACAGGGTGGGGTGGCCAAACATCCCCCTCGCTTTTAAAAATCAGAAAGCAAGAGGGACAAAATCCGGGGCCACGCCATACCCCAAAACTGCGGGCACATGTCTATACATGTGAGTATTCCTGTTTTAATTGTGTCCAGCCTCTTTTCCGAAGGGGCCCTACAGCTAATTAGCTAGGACCCCACGTGTAGCAGAGGTACACTTCAAACTTCCAGTTTGTAAGCATGGGCCAAGATTATATAGTCTGGATTCGAATTCAGGTCTGTGCATCTCCGTTTCAGCAGTTATGGGTTGCTCACTTAGCTAGGCCTTGTTGGTCTCTGCACGTGATTCTCAGGGCTTGGCTGCACTACTCACCAAATGTGCAAAACTAGAATGAATCTTCCACAGAACATGGAATAATACGCCGCCATATGTTTTGTCTCTTGTGCATGCTGTGAGTAGAGGCCCTTAGGGCCAGTGCACGTATTCCTAAGAAAAGAAAAACGAGAAGAAAGAAAATGAGAAATTTTTCTCGTTTTTCTTTTCTTAGGAATACGTGCAGTGGGCACTATGTCACGAGGAGCCCGCTAAAGGGAGGTCTAGGGATTATAGACCCCGGAACAGAAACAAAAGCCCTGCAGATTAAGTGGATTATTAAACTTCTGATGAACCCAAACAGTGCATGGCATAAACTAGCCCTGGATAGCATCAGGTCACTAGCCCCGGTGCCCTCTCCAGAGGATATGTCAAGACTGTTCTGGGTAATGAATAAAGACTGGATCATAGCCAAGGGCAGAAGAAATCGAACGAGGGACACCAGATTAGAGAACTATAGGCCTGATACCCCGTACTGGACCTCTCTACTTCGAATCCGGAGAAAAATAATCCCTAACAAATCCAACAGACCTAGATCCAAGGATGAAGTACTAAGACAACCGCTCTTCGGGAACCAATGGTGACAAATGAGGGCGACACCCCCCTCTTCTTAGAACAAAAGTGGCTCTCCTGGGTCAAAAACGGCATATGGAAAGTCGCCCACATATGGAATGAGGACAGGAAAGAATGGAAAACAGAACAGGAAATCAGTTCCCAACTGAAAGGATGCCACAGGCGAGGACCCAATCTCCGGCACATTGTCAGCCTTATTCCACAGGAATGGAAAGATATCTTGACGAAAGCCGCTCCATGGAAACCCGGAGAATGGGGACTTAAGATACAAGAAATGACTCCCTCGAGAGCCTTCCAATTCTCTCACATGCAACAAGATTCGCACACCAAGGCCACCTTCCTCTCCTTCCCAATTTCCACAACTGCTTCCAGTATGCCGATTATCCTGAATAACAATGTTGAGTCGGTAGTCTTGGACTCCTTCCTACTCAGGAAGATAAGGGTCATTGGCTCTTGGCCCAAGTCAATCTTTAGACCGGACACAGCAATCCATAACTTGGAGTTTGACCCAGCTGAATGGGCATGGATACCGGACAAGACTAAAAACATCAAATCCAAAACCCCAATTCAAGAGTATACAGTCAAACTAGGATACAGACTGTCACTGAAAACCAAAGACCCCGACCCTATCATTAAAAAAAGATGGCACCATCTACTGGGCCAAGAGGCAGACAATCTCACACAGATCCAATGGAAAAAGTTCAGGCTCATCAGACCAATCAAAATCAGAAGCTTACAATGGCTAATCGCCTACGCGGCATTACCGGTGAACCAATGGCTACACACGAGGCGTAAGAGTTCAGATCCCAACAGTTCGGACTTCTGCACGGTCTGTAATGAAGGAGCGGTAGAAGACATAGTTCACTGCCTAATACATTGCAGAGAGGCGACAGACTACTGGGCAAGAGCATCGGCACTCTGGGACTCCCTATTCCCAACTCCCTTCCCCGAACATCCCATCCAACTTCTCCTCCTGACTAACATCCCTCAACAGCTCCCGAAGACAGAAAAAATCTGGTTTGGTCTCATCAGAAAGGTTACATTATGGGTCATAGGAAGGAAAGATGCAGCAGAACGGGTGGAGACGAAAACGATGATACAAGCTGAAATCCATTTAAAATGGAGGAAGACCAAACAGTCATGGACGGAGGACGAGGAACAACGAAAGAAGGACAGATGGACCTTCAGCAAGAATTGGTTGATAAACGGCAAGATTGCAGATTTACGAGAAGACCGCATTTGCTGGAAGGAGTGGCACAACTCAACCCCAGGAAGGAGGCACCAGCAACAGACAACTACGGGTGGACAAGACATTCCATGATCAGACATCCAAGAGGGGGGAATAAGACGAAAATAAGGGTCCCATAGAGCAGGATAGTAATCGGGAGTTTAGGGATTAAGGGTTTAAGGGATTCCCAGAGAGGGCAGAGGAATTTCGGACAAGGGTCAGGATGACTTTTGGGCAAGGATGGACAAGGCAAGACTGTCCCTACCAGACGAGGACGAGCAACAGCGCACAGTACAGTTGAAGTTTACCAAGACCTGGCTGATCGAAGGAAAGTTGCAGAGATAAAGATCTTTTATGCCCGGTGGATGGACTGGCGCAACTCAAAAGATGTTAGGAGAAAACCAAACAGTCCCGACACAGACCACAGTGTCCTAGGCTGAGCAACAGAGATACCAAGCCTTTTTTTTTTTTTTTTTTTTTTTTTTTTTTGGGAAGAGAGGAGACTCAGATAAGCGACTGGAGCAAGATCCTACCACGTTCTCTCGTTTTGAATAGGTCCTTTTGACAAGCCCAAGAAGGGAACCTGAGAGGAGCAAGTTGTTAGGGCAAGCTGACAGTTAATCCTCCAGGGAGCAATCAATGCTGGTCAGGGGTCCTTCAGCCATATGGAAGGAAGCGTGAGTGTGTTTCACGATGTAATATTCCTTTATGACTCGCCGGGGGAATAGGAACCGGACTGATGCTCCCCAGAATGGAAAAGGAGCCAGGCCCATAAGGACCTGTTTTTTTTTGTTAAAAAAAAAGAAAAGAAAAAAAAAGGAATACGTGCAGTGGCCCTAAGGGCCTCTACTCACCACATGCACAAAAGACAAAACACATGGCGGCGTATTATTCCATGTTCTGCAGAAGATTCATTCTAGTTTTGCACATTTGGTGAGTAGTGCAGCCAAGCCCTGAGAATCACGTGCAGAGACCAACAAGGCCTAGCTAAGTGAGCAACCCATAACTGCTGAAACACAGACCTGAATTCGAATCCTGTGTATACATTCGGCCAGCTCGTGCTCTACTTCATATTCACTGCCTGCCTCAATGTCGGTGAAGAGTCTGCGCTACATTACTGCGAGGACCCTTCATAATGCCTGCACGGGCCTTCTCAGCCATGTTAGGGGGATCCGTTGCTCTCTCTCTCTCTCTCTCTCTCTCTCTCTCTCTCTCTCTCTCTCTCTCTCTCTCTCTCTCTCTCT